TGATTAAGGTGTCAGTATTCTATTGCAATGTTGGAGGAAGTCATTTCATTTCAATGGCTGTTTGCCCTGATAAACTTCTATAGCTGTATTTTGTCATACTTCCAATTTTCCTTGGGCCTTGCAAACATTCTGCAGTTACATCAGTTTAAATTGTTTATTGATTCCAATAGATTGTATAAACACTTTGGAAGTATAGCTCAGTGACCTAGAAAACGCCAGATCAGAGAAGTTCTCATCATTCATTTCAAAGATGCTATGTCAAGTAAGATCTAAGGTACAAAACTATTTTCCCTTGGAATGTGACTAAAGACATTTATTTTCTTTTATGAGGTAAGGATTTTTTTTCAAGTCATGCAAACAGACAACATTTACCTTAGTGCAAAAAAAGAATTAAGTCTGGATGTTATAATACAGATGAATACAATTCTCAGACATCCACTAGGATGGAACAGACTATTAGAAATTCAAATAGATGTGTATACTATTTAAACACCAGCTTACAACTCTCAACTTGTATAATAAATAGGTATTTTCAAATGTCAGACAGTCCAAACATTCATTTGCACATAGCAAGAAATCCTACACCATCTTGGATAGCAGAGTTAATGCAAAAGCTTACTGCAAAACGTTTGCATCAGGTATAACTCCTTCCCCACCAGCAAACCTTCCAACTGTGTGTGTAAATGTGCGCATGTGGCCTCCATGAAGAATTTATCAACTTCAAAGCAGAAACTTCATGCTGAGAAGAAACTACATAGAAGGACAAACTATCACAGGACAGAAATCAATAAAGTACTGTAGTAGCAAATTCACAATTGGAGAGCTCTATTGCAAGACAGAAAAAAAAAAAAGAAAGAACTCCTTAGATAAATATAATCAGACAAGCAGCTAAAAGAATCTTTGAGAAACTACCCATGTAACATGAGAGATCATCCAGAAAAACCAAATGGATAGAACTTGGATACTTTGTATCTCTGCAGTACTCATGGTAACCAGAAGAAGTAACTTTATTCCCAGTTAAAGGATAGGAAGTGGCTACTTACCAAAAACAACCTGTTCTCGGCATATATTGCCAACACAGAGAGATGCTGTAAGGATTGGTCTTACTGGCATAATTCTGTCAGGAAGAGGTGAGATTTTTTTTGCTGACCTGATTATGGCAGTAAAAGCCCGCCTGTAGATATAGCTATACCAATAAAAGCTATATGGTTTATAGTATATAGCTTATTTCAGTTTCCAAATCACAAGAAACTATACTGGTATAAGCACCTTTATACTGATATCGCTGCTCCCAGACTATGTTGCTTTTGCTGCTTTAAGTGCGAAGGAATAGCTACAACAACCAAATTTTTTAAGTGTAGACAAGTACTAAGGGTATGTCTACACTTACCCGCTGGTTCGGCGGCAAGCAATCGATCTTCTGGGATCGATTTATCGCGTCTTGTCTGGACGCGATAAATCGAACCCAGAAGTGCTCGCCGTCGACTCCGGTAATCCTGCTCGGCGAGAGGAGTACGCGGAGTCAACGGGGGAGCCTGCCTGCCGCGTCTGGACCGCGGTAAGTTCGAACTAAGGTACATTGACTTCAGCTACGTTATTTACGTAGCTGAAGTTGCGTACCTTAGTTCGAATTGGGGGGTTAGTGTAGACGAGGCCTAAGAGTCATACTATGGCAGTACATAATTGTTTTGAGCAGTAGCTGGTGGGTGCACTCAATTCCTCGAGTGCTAAATTCTGTAGACAGGGAATACATCATCCCTTCTAATGGTCCCTCAGTTCCTTTACACCCCCAGAAGCCCTGTGTAGAGCTGGGCTCTGAAGCAGAAAAGAGGTAGCTCTATGGAGGCACACAGAGAACAAGAGCTCTTGCTGATAAATTTGTTAGTCTCTAAGGTGCCACAAGTACTCCTGTTCTTTTTGCGGATACAGACTAACACGGCTGCTACTCTGAAACTTGCTGATAAGTAAACTCATTTAATTTAAAGCATGAAGGCTAGCCAATCACCTTCTAAGGAGGTGGGTCTTAAATAATGTCCTTTAATACTACCATTTGCTCTGGATGTGGTGTCAAGAAAATAGTGATTCGTAGGTGTGAACTGACCTCTAGGTAGCAGCCCTACAAATTTCACATAAGGGTACACTGCATGTATACACTATCAACTTTGCAATGCCCTTGTTGATCGAACCCTTAAGCATTCAGGCACACCTGGTATATATCAAAACTGGATGCATTTTCTTATCCATTGTGACAGTCTTTGAGCTCAGATGGTTGATCCTCAAATTCTTCTCCAGAGACCATAAATTGTCTGACTTCTGAAATGGCTTAGTCCTGTTTAAGTAGAAGCCAGTGCTCTTGACATCCATGGTGTTCAACTTCACCTCCTCAGCATAATTATGGGGCATTGTGAAAGAGACAGGCAGAGATATCAGTGATTGAGATGAAAAGTCAGATATAAATTGGTCTAGATTGGGGTAAAGTAGCCACTGGTCTTTGTGGAATACGGTATAAGGTGACAGATCATCAAGGCCTGTAACTCAAACCCTCCTGGCCAAGTTAACTGTGACAAAATAGGAGATCTTCACTGAAAAGCAATGAAGAAAGCAAGACCCTAAAAGCTCAAACACCCTCCCATGAGTTTATTTAATACCAAGTTCAAGTCCCAAAGTTGAGTAGGTTCCTGAACAGGAGTGTACAAGTTTGTATGACCTTTAAAGACGTGTTTCTCTGGGGAACAGACAAAGCCAGAGCACCTTTTCAACGGGCCAGGTTCAGGGCCAGCATAAGCAGTAATAGCAGATGGAAACTGCAGATGCTTACCTAAGAACAGCTTTGATAACAGAGACAGAAGAAAGTCTAAATCAATTGGAACTGGACAGAAAACCGGGTCACAGCCTCTACGGTGAGCAAACTTTTAAAAACAGTTATATTTACCAGCATTCTGCTTTCTAGTGGAGGTGGCTTTCTGGACTCCATTTTAAGACATCTCTATAACATGAGATGAAGGACCTTGAAGTCTGGATGCATTACCCTGCTGGGACAGGGGATCTTGACTCAGGGAGAGAGTGAATAAACAACCTTGGGACAAAACTAGAAGCCAAGAAACTGGGATGAAATCATGACTCCATTGAAGTCAAAGGCAAAACTTCCATAGACTTCAATGGAGCCAGGACACACATGATCAACTGGACCCATATTGGATTAACTAAGATCATCCAACTCTATGCTGCCAAAACTTTCCCAGTACTCTGGGAATGAGAGAAAACAGAAGAAAGGAGTAAAAGGAGACTCTCTTGGCAATGCAAAAGAAAGGAGTCCTACACATAGATCTTTGACTGTTCTCAAGCAAACCTGATTGTGGTTTGTTGTTCTGACTTGGAGCAGATGAATCCATGTTACAGCGATCCCACCTGGCAGGAATCACACAAGCACCTGAGGGCAGGAGTGACCACTCATGATGCTCCATACCTTTCAGACTGAAATCAGCAGTTAGGAAGTTTTTTACACGTGCCAGTTGCAGAATGGAAAGGATTACTTCAAACTGGATGCATGATTCTCAAAGCCTGATTTGTCTCTCAGCAAACTAGAAATGACCAAGTATCATGACTGTGCATTCTCTTCTCAGCTCCAACCAAAGAACTTCGATCTTGAGCTGGTGGAACCCATTTCAATGCTTGTAAAGGAATCCCAAACAAGGGGATGATTTCAGCTTGAGATTTTGCATCAGGCTTTATCATCTTGCAAGGCTTAGCTGCCAAATTACTTGTGCTTGAGGATATGGGGGGGTACTTTCATAGGAGAAAACCACCTGTACGTATGCGCTATTGGAGCCTCTTCCAAAAGCAAGTTATGGACCAGTCTTACAATGCTTTTGGGCCCTTTTTGAGAGTCACAGCCTTTAGCGGAGGGGAAGTCAATAGGCAGACTGCAGGCCAAATCCGGACTGCCAGGTGCTTTAGAATGGACCCCAAAAATCTATTAGTTTACTTATTATTGTTATTTTTTTATTATTTTCTCTGGAGTCTGGACCTTGACTATACCTTGACATAATTCTGAATCTCTGCTGGGGAGAGACCTGTGAAGTGAAACAGCAAGAATGTTGACCTGATTTTGAGCTGGACTGGCAAAGATGAGTATCATGCAAAAAAAAGCTAAAGGTTGTTTTCAAAGTGTTGTTCTCTCCTGTCTACTGCCTGTGAAAGACCCACACAAAAGAAAAAGTGGGTAAAATCGACTAGGGTGGCATAGTGACCTTAATTACACACACAGAGTTATCAAATACACAAACAAGGAGAAAAAAGAGAAACATTAACACACAATACACACCAACCTCTCAGTTATAGTCAGTCAGAACGCTGTAAAAGTGTCAGGCGGGGGTGATGGTAAGGGGACACCAACTTAAACTCTAACGAGGTTTTAAAATCCAGCCCACATATGCCCCACTAAAACTATATTTCTACATATTTTTAAAGAAAACCCTAAAGTAAAGTTTCTATTTATAAAAAGAAGCTGTAATTGTATTAGATATAAATACAAACAAATATTGGGGTTGAAAAACAATCAGAAGTAAAAAGTTGAAAACACCTTCAGAATATTTTACCAATGCAATCACCACATTTAAGTTCCTGATGTTTAAGTCAGTCTTTGGAATATTAGCATTTTGCTTGAGATATATAATAGACATTCAGAGCCAAAACTTGGACTGAGTTATACCAAATATTAGAAACATGCAATTGGAGAAGAGATTTTTATTGCCATGATATTGGGACCCATGTCAGTTGGGCTGTACTGATGCAGTTGAGAGAAGATTGACACCCTAAGTTTTGTACTTGTGATCCTTTGATGACAGCTCAAATGACTACATAAAATAACAGGAAATCCACAGTCATTTTAGCCTGTATAACCCCAAACAGTCAACCTACAGTTATGCAAACATAACTGTTATTCACTATTGCCAATTCTTCCAAAATTTCACAGACAACAAATGAAAACAAGCCTTTACCTTTCTCTAAGAGAAGAACGGTTTAATACAGGACTTGAGGAATGTTTCTGCAATGAGGAGAGTGCTGAACGTATTAATGAACTAGTAGAACGAAATTGCCTACTAGCAGTACCCGACATCGGGTGCTCATCACAGCTGTCAGAAGAGCCATCTAAGTCTTTCCCATGATGAGACCTGATAATCTGTCAGAGAAAAAACAGCAGCAGAACTTCAAACAATATATAATAAGTGCCTAGGCTATGCCTGTGCATAAGCTAACAGGGAGCAGAGATGTACACTTTCCACTTTTTCTGTATGTAAAACAAAGTTTAAAGATTAGACTTGTCTGTATTAAGAAATACACATAAGACAATTATTTACAGAGATTTGCATGTAACATAGGAGTGGGAACGGCAGCACCCCCCATAATTAAGATTGCATTCCAGGCTAACCCCCTGTTTTCAGTCACTGATATCTTTTTGAAGTTTTCACCTTTCTGGCTGAAATTTTCCAGGATTGGTTCTGAACAGGGACTTTTTAGTCTCAGCAAAAGCTCTTCAGCCATATTGGATTATCAAACAAGATGGTGGTGGGGAGGGAGACAACATTTTCCCCATTATAAAAGAAATTTTTGCAATTTTTTTGGACCAGCTACAGAGCTGAAAAAAATTAGAGGCAAAAATCTGAAACAGCCCTCACTGAAGAAAGTGCCTTGCAGGTTTCTAGTGAAAAGAGACTTTGGAGATTTCCACTGGAAGTGCTCTCTATTTGCCCAAGTTATGACCCTTTAAAAAACTGACTACTACACACTGACTACTACAAAATGCATTTTGCATGGGTTTTCTCTCTAAGCTTGTAAAGTGCTAAGGAAAGTTACACCTTGCACGCTTGAGTGATGGGGTTTGCTGCTAATGAAAAATGTGCAAGCAGTGCAAAGGGCTTAGAAAGGTTGCTATATTCCTTAAGTTTCACAGAAAGGTGTCCCACTGTGATGAACCTTTTTAGTATTCCACCATTTTGATCCAGCATCTCACTCCCTGCTGGTCCCATCAACTAGGGCCAAATTCTTGATCTCTAGATACTGCTTCAGCCCCATAAGGGAGATCTTTGGACGCTGTAGAGATGCCAGAAAAGGCTCCATGACAAAGATGTGGGGCAGGATAAGGATGCACGTTTTCCAGCTTAGGGGAACAGGCCACGTCTCATCTTGTTTGCCATGCCCACTTATGCAGAAATAGCATTTCTAGATCAAGATTCAATCTGTTCCCATATATTCCTACAAAGAGAGTCATCATAGCCTTATTCACATGTAACCTTGACTAAAGCTTTACACCATTGGCCCTTTAAAGCTTCCTGTACCCTGTGGGAGAAAGGAATTTGATGTGTTATTTTACACCACGCATGTACAGGAACTCAATAATATTCCATGGAATTGTCCATGCTTGCCAGGAAACCCTCTGAAAGGCAGGACTGTATCTGACCCCATTGTATAAGACAGTATTTTTAGGTGAACTTTAACCAAAGTTTAATGCCCCAGTCACACCACACAGAAGACCTAAATTAACAAATAAAAGCCAGGAGAGTCCTAACATTTTGGCCCCATGAGCTAATTCACCTAACAATTTTAAAAGAGGCAGCCGATGTTTGTTACAAAATTAGAATCCCATTCAAATGTAATCTTCAGATTAAACACACACACACAGACAAACAGAATGCCCAAATATCATCTGCTTTATTAAATTTAACACTGATTTCCCCTTAAGAGCTACATTACACCAATAGTAATTCTCAGGTCCTCTTACGCTACACAATATTAACAACATCTAGTTCAGAGCTATACAATTATTTTTGGCAACATAAAAGGTATATTCCCTTTTGCCTGTATTTTTTTGTTAGAACCAGGAATGCTTAAGGGCATCAGGAGAGTGATGAATTTAATCTGTATCTGTGATATCTATGTGCTCCAAACAATGAGTGCCGCTAATATCTTCTTCCCCATTTGAGAAAAATGGATTTGAATTAAAACATCCATCATAAAAGCATATTTAGAAGTTCTCTGTACAGTTTATCACTTATCACTATGGAATAATCCAGAAGCAGCACAATATGCTAGATTTACATGCCACATAAAACTGCAGTCCTACATAGTGAAAGTTGAGAAGCTGACAAGAATGTTTGGCCTGAACCAAAGTTTTATCCTTTTAATTCACTTTCCTTCTCCCTCCCTGCATCACCTCTCTTGCCAGCCATTAGGAAATCTAATAGGGCACACACACAATAATTAACGGTCTACAGTCTGCTAATAAAATTTCCGGGGTATTTCAGGAAAAACAAAAATTAGGAAAAAAAGGATAAACAAGTTACATCTCATTTCACACATCTATCAGGTGGGTGAGATAAACAAGCCCCTCCATCCCAACCAAGAACATGTGAAAAGCAGCTAGCTGAGAAAGGAAAGACAAAACTTGAGAATAAGCACAAGAGCCAAACATTTGAAGTAATGAGCAGCAATTTAAAAATAAAAAATATGGGCCCTGCTCTCATTTACACCAATGCTCTGGTGATCCAAGAGATCCTCTCGAAGTGAACGTAAATGTAATTTCACACCCACTGGAAAGTGCCTTGACTCACCCTGGCATCATAAAGTGAAAGTGACTTTACTGTAAATAAAAATTGGGTTCTGTAACTGCAGAACATGATTTACTATGAATTTATGTCCATAGTGTTAACAGTTTGTTTGTGTAGAATGTTTTGAGAAGGCTTTATAGTACAATGAAACAATATCTATATTTAATAATGGTCCAATATACAGCATCAAACAACAAGATGAAGAAGTTGTATACTTGATTTCACTCAGGCGCCTTCAACAGAAATCCCACACACTTTTCTATTCCACACACTCCAAAACAGAGACAAATTTACATGCAATTTTATTTGCATTACTTACTTTAGTATGCTTGGGTCTATAGCTGCCAAGAAGAGAAGGATCTGGAAAAAAGTGCACCCCAGCAGAATTTTTAAACAAGTTTTGAGTCTATAGGTCTAGAAGCTACATGCAGTTTAGGGAAAAAAAATTAAAAGTCTTTCCCAAAAATCACTTATAACTCACCTTTCAAACAGTAGCCAAAGCAATTTACTGTTGTTATATATTTACATGCATTTATATTCTTCAGATGCAATTTACATGCATCTGAAGAAGTGGTTTTTTTACCCACGAAAGCTTATGCCCAAATAAATCTGTTAATCTTTAAGGTGCCACTGGACTCCTCGTTGTTTTCGTGGATACGGACTAACACGGCTACCCCTCTGATACGTGATATTTTGAATTACACAATGTAATGTCACGGCCATTAGTGTTTTAGGGTTTCAATTTCTTCATCTGACAACAATAACTTCAGGTCTGACTGCAGCCTAAGGCTATGTCTACACTAGAGAGCTTACAGTGGCACAGCTGTACTGATGCAGCTGCGCTACTGTAAAATCTCTCACGTATCTGCTCTATGCCAATGGGAGAGAGCTCTCCTGTAGACATAACTAAACCACCTGCAACGAGCGGCGGTAGCTATGTCGGTGGGAGAAGCTCTCCTGCTGACATAGTGCTGTGCACAATACCATTTATGCAGGAGAAACTTATGCTCAGAGGGGTGGTTTTTCCACACCCAAGTGACATAAGTTTTGTAGACATAAGTGGTAGAGTAGACATCGCCTAAGTTAATGGGATCTCATCAAAGAGGATGAGTACAGTTTTGTGAGTGGACTGAAGTGACTCATATTGTTATTCATTGCTTAAACCAATGTAAAGTAAAACTATAACCAGAATATGGCCCATATTTTCCACTACACTATAGTAAGCCACTTTGAAAAGGATGTCAAATTTCCATCCTAAAAGAGAAGTCCACTGTGTATCCACAGGACTGGAAATGTCCCAATTATTCTCACTCTGTGCTGCTATGCCTCGAATCCATTTGGTGGATAGTACACCTCTACCTCGATATAACACGAATTTGGATATAATGCAGGAAAGCAGCGCTCCGGGGGAGGTGGGGCCGCGTGCTCCGGCGGATCAAAGCAAGTTCGATATAATATGGTTTCACCTATGACGCGGTATGATTTTTTGGCTCCCGAGGACAGCGTTATATCGGGGTAGAGGTGTACCTACAAGGTAAGAGTGAGTTCACCTAATAATATCTAATGCTTAGTTCTTCTGTGCAACTTTAGATATCCAGAGAGCAGGAGAAACAGAAAGGGGCTACCATTCTATCTACAGATACATGCACAGAAATCCCACTGATATCAATGGCTCCCAAGTATTGATACAATGTGCTTATATCTAAAAGAGGCCATATATTTGGGATCCTTCAGGATGAAAGCTTCCCTCTTAAGCACTGGGGCAAACCCTTCTTTATTTAAAAGCGCTATAGTATCTGTAGAGCCAATTTTTTAATAACTGTCTCTGATTCTGCAGGCACAAAATGAATTTAGTATCTAATTTGGGGGTGCAACCAAGTAACCAAATTTCTAAATCCCCTCCTAGAAAGCAGACAAGACCTCCAGTTTTCAGTCTCATCCAAAAGATCAATATATACATGCAGTAAACTGAGTGGACTCAGTTAGCTACCTCCAGAAGGATGAAAGAGGACCGAGCTGTCATTTCTAGGATTAGAACATTTGATTCCAGGAATCTGTATTTTTTAGAAGCCTGATCCTTATAACTGTTACACCCCAGGACATAGGCAGGGGGTTGCTCTCTACCAATGGAATCTTATGACTGTTAGAAGTGACAACTCTTTTGAGGTAGATTTCAGTCCCCTAGTGACTGGCCCGAGACCACTAACTCATTTCATATAAGTGTTTGATGCCTCTAAGGTGGTAACGTGGCTTTGATATTATCAAACTGCAACAGATTCAAGTTTATGACCCTGAGGTGAAAGGCTTTGCATCCCAATGTCTACATCTGGAGCCTCCAGTCCTTCCACTATGGGCAAACTGCAAAGTACCTTTAATTCATAGTGAATTGCAATGAAGGTATTACTAGTGAGGAGTCACAATAAAATGTAAATAGAAGTACACATAAATACCGATGAAGTTCACTACAATTCATGCTCTCATACATGAGGAATACTGAACAAATTAAACCATGTTTTAAAGTACCACCTTCCCTAATTTTACTTGAGACAGACAGGGAATCTCCAAGGCTGTGGAAATATACTATATGGAAGGAGGATTCAACATAGCTCTCCACTAAAGGATTCTAACTTTAATCCATGGATTACTGGAAGCAACAAAACAAATAATCCATGTCATGCATATGGGAAATAAGAGATCAGAAGCTAAATAAAATGGCAAAGCATAGCCAACACTGTAAGAAGGCCAGTATTTTTCAGTGCATATGAAGATATGTAATTATTTTCCCTGCCCAGTACACCAACCCTGTAGGCTAACAGTAGCACGCCGGGTGTACTGAAATTCAGAGGCAAGCATTATAGGGGCTTCAGCAGCTAGGCCTGGTGGGTCCCAATAACCAATCAGACACATGGCTAAGTGAAAGGGCATTTTACTTTGGCTGGCAGGAAAGGGAAAGGTTGCAGATATCCTAGGTACAGAGGCTTAAAAATAGTTACAGTTCAAAGTGAGTATTAGGGATTTTTGTTCGGGTTGTCAGGGCTCCTCAGGCCTAGTGCTTGGAGTGCCCTCTCCAGTGCCATCTTTGTTCAAGCAAATAGGCATTTGCAGGTTTCCAGGCCACAGTCAGTGAGTGTCTCTCCCCGGGTTCTCCGTGCCTTGCTCCTTGCTAGCGTAGGCTGTACTTTACCAAGGCACCAGCCTATGTTGGGGGACACACTGTTTTCAGATGATACAGAACTAAGGACCCAATCATTGGAGTAATTAGATATCCTAAGCCACTTTTTTTATAACAGTAGTTTCATTCATCCCAGCGTCCTGGCTAAATCCTAGGAAGAAAGGACAGTCTTTCCACACTAAGGGGTTAAAAAGCCTAACCTGCTGTATGGAACATGAGTACCTAAGACGAGATACACAAGTCAATACCTACCATAAGATACCCTGGACCAACCTTCTCGTCCACTGTCTCTGGTGGGACGCCAAGTATGAACATCAACAGTGGGGTTCGGATGTTCAATCTGGAGCCAAAACATTGTTAAAACGTTTAGTGTTGGAGATAAACTTTTTATACTACCACACACACACACACACACACAAATAAATTAAATTATCTTTCCTTCTCCTGTATTTACACCTCTGCTCCTTTCTGGTTCAATTTATAAATTTACGATTTTTGATAATATTTAGGAAGTTATTCTCAGAATTTTGTCTGTGTAAATGTAGTAGTATTACATATACACAGACAATAATGTAAGAACATAGTTATGAAAACCCTTAGATGAAAAATTATAAAGCAAACCAGAAAGGAGGTGCGAGGGTGACACGCAGCAGAACAAGACGTAACTTATTGTCTTATATATTGATGCAAATCCACTAGAACCTTCTTACAGTAACTCAAAGTAACCAATAAATAAAAGTTCTTGTTTTGAATTTTGCCAAACATGCAGCTTTGTTACAGACAGTCTGCTACAGGCACCAGTTACATAACAGGAGAAAAGGAAAGGCCTTCCTTTTTGCATTCACTACAAATTAGATACCTAATATTTACCAGAAATAGTTCAGATCTTACCAAGGTATTTAAAGCGTTGCTCTTCTTCCTAATTAAAGGATAACGTTTTAGCAAGTTCAAATTTTGATCTTAATGTAACACACAGAATTCCCAGTCCAAGAAGACCCCAGCCTTAAAGATACCCGTAAGGAGTGTTATCACATCAGAAAGGTAATGGAAGTCTGGATATGGCACATTAAAAGAATGCAGCAGATACACATTTTCTTTTTGTAGAAGAGGCACAAAAGTAGTCAGTAATCAGAATCAGCAATTGTCATGTAAAGGTGCTGTAATTACACTGTGAACATCACCTATAGATCAGAACCAGAAGAATTGACTAATTTGAGTTAAAAGAAAAAATAATATCCATGGGAGTACGATAAGCGGTAGGATGAAGATTAATGGTTGCTTAAGGCTCATCTGAATTTCTAAAGGGTATCTAGGAGTAAAAGAAAAAACTTGTAAGTGAATTCCAGAGTTTGACAACATATGCTAATGAATTAATTAGTAATAAGCTAAAAAAAAGGAATAATCAGAGAAGTAACTAAGATAATCAGGTAATGTGGCAGATAAGATCGCTGGAATTGCACGCAAGCCCTGATATAGCACAGAAACAAAAGAGCCCAATTTCTCTTTCTCTCTGCAATCTTTCAAGGTTGGATTCTTAAGGTAGATGTTTATAGTGATCATGGGAAATATTAAGAAAAAAGAAAATTAACAAAGTACATATCAAACAACATGATCCTTCAAGATGTTAAGCACTCTGGCCCCAATCCAGCAAAATACTTAAGAACATGCTTAGCTTTAAGCAAGTGTAGTCTGTTGACTTCAGCAGGACGACCCACATACTTAAAGTTAAGCATATGCATAAGTGCTTTGCTAGATCAGGGTCAGAATGCTCAGGAACTTGAAGGATTAAGTTTATATTTTAGTAAAGGGACAATTTCAAAGACAAGATGATAACAAAGAAAGGTACGAAGGAGGGAGTCTGACTTTTCATAATGTCACTGCACTCTTTTCAAATCCTATTCAGCCACTTTTAATACTAATACCAATTACTTCCAACTTGAATTATGCACCTATTATGCTGTCCAGTGTGCTAGAAGAAAAAGAATGGGCACTCAGAATTTAAACATGGTATTCATGAAAGAGTTTGATCCTTGTCAGTTACCAATGCTGACAAAAGGACTTTTATTCTAGTTAATTTTACATTTAAATCACTATGTAGCAGGCTGTTTAGGAGAAAAAAAGATTTTTCATATAAACTAGGATTTGGGGAGTAATATTTAGCAAAAGAATAATGTTTGATCTGAGCTTAAATGGGAAACACTTTGCAGAGAATACATACATGTCTAACTACAAATGGAGGTTTATCGGTTTCTCTTCTGAATTCAAAAGGCCCCAGATTTAAATGGGCCAGTCGTTGTCTGGCTTCTTCTGATAGCTCACACATTCGTCTTTTTGTGTATGGAGATGGAGATCGTGATTTAGAAGCTATTGTGGGCTGCTCATAGTTCTTTGTTGCTAAGCAGTGCCTGTTTTTCTCAGGTGAAGGGGTGTTTTTCTTTGGTGACCTTGTTTGTAATCTTCCATTTGGTGTTGAATGATGCACCCGATCCAAATTATCCTAAAGTGAAAAGAGAAATTATGTGGCTTGACAGCATGCCGAGCAAAGATTGCTACTGATAATACAGCAAACAAACATCTGCAAAGCGGGAACCAACATCTCCGACAGAAATAGACGTATGTCAGTTCAAGTTACCCTAACAAAACTATAATCACACAGCAATTTAGAAAAAAAGCAGAGATGGTCCTTTTAAAATAATGTGCTTAAAACCAGGAGAAGGATAAAATGCACATTGTTAAATGTCAGACTTTAAGGTTAAGTGCCTGATATTTATCCAATTAGCTTGCTCACACAGTTGGTGCTAAAGACACTATATAAAATTAAGTTGAATTATGTTACTTTAGTTCATTTAATGACAACTCTGCCTAGCATATATGATTAAAAGTTTACAGATTCGAAAATATTTGCTCAACTTGCTACCATCTTTTTTTGGAAAATATTTTCAAGTTTTTACCTTTCTGAGTGTAAGGTTAAATAAATCTGCCTATTTTTTAAAAAACAGTGGATGGCAACAGACTGAATTCTTGTTTATGGTTAAATTATATGCATTTTAGAAGCTGACCAAAGATTCATAATTAGTTAACTGCTTTGAAAAATGCATTTTCTTGAAAGATGGGGAATTTACTGGGGTATTTTGTTAAGGAAAAGGCTATTAGCCAAAAGCTATAATAATACAACTTTAAGGACCCACTTTCCAGTGTTCCTCTTCAGTTATGCCAATAATATAATACAAATGCAAAACCAAAACATTTGCCTGTAAAAATGGCATTTTTTGCATCCACAAATACAGGGTTTGGAGACCATTTAAAATTCCAGCATAGGGGTCTAGCTCAGAGTTGACACAAGCTTTAAAAATACCACATTGTGACATGCATGGTATATTAACAAGCCACAATTCTTTTGTAACCAGCAATACCAAACTAAGAGTTATTAAGGAAAGAGCCAGCCCGAACTATTAACTTCTTCACTTACCAGTTTAAAAGTCAACTGTCAAGATTAATGCTTTCAGTACTGAAGTTTAATTTGAAATACATTATCACTCTTTTGTCATTTCAGCACAAAGTCATCTTTCAGCTGTCTCTACAAGCTTTATAGTTTGAGACATGCTAGGAAAAAAGGCTATGCTTTGAACGCTTTCTCAATGGCACATTTTGGCTTTGATGTCACAGTATAATGAACTGGAATTTCAGGTAAAGTTTGGCTCCAAATACCTTATTTTATTGGTATTTCATTTTGTATATTTTTTATGACTTTCCTTTGGAAATTACTTTTCCTTTTAAAATAAAAAGAGATGACAGACAATATTCTGGTGCATATGCAATGCAACTGCACTACATCAGTGCATAAGAACTGAAACAGAAATTGACTAGAGTAACTGGGCTGTATTCAATGTTTATTGCTTGCCTTTCCATCTGCACTCACGGTTACGTGTTTAAGACTATATATGCTAAGAATCTCAGGTACCTTTTAGTACATTAAAATTCTCAAGTACATGCTATATACATTTCAGAAAAACACCAGTATGACAGCGTCTCTTTAAAGTGACAATGTCAACTTGATTTTTTTTTTTTAGGTTTATCAGTTTAGAAGCGTTCAGTTTTCTAATAGAATGTGCCTTTTTAAAAAAAAAATCCTCCTTTAAAAATGTTGATAAGGGTTTTTTTTTTTATTTTGCTCCCCTGCTTAAGGATAGACCCAACATCATCACCACCACCCAAAAATTCACAGGCTACCCCTTTCGCTCTCTGTGCACATTCCTGCCTACCGCCTGTTCATTTTCAGTTTTGCTGTCGCTATTACTAATAAACACCATTTTGAACAACGTGGAAAAGAGTGATGTCATCATATAAGTGCACAAGACAGGAAGCCCAACGGAGGCTCAAAACAGTGAAACTGACTATACACAAAATGCTGTCAAACACACAAAGTAAACAAATTGCAGAAAAATAGTTTCCTCCAGTCTGTTCAGTTAGGGCATCTAAAGTATTACTTATTGTTTCATAATTTTCAGATGGCTATTTGATTGACAAATTGATGGTCACCTGAGGAAGTGAGGTTTTTACCCACGAAAGCTTATGCCCAAATAAATCTGCTAGTCTTTAAGGTGCCACCAGACTCCTTGTTGTTTTTTAAAATGAAGTCTTCATCTCCATTACAAAAATAATTTCTCGAGATAATTACAATTATACTTTATGTATTGGTTTGTTTTGTTTTTAATAATTTGTCATCTCCAGGTTCACCCAGCTACTGTTAGATAATGACGAGAAGACATCTTCCCGACGCCACACACATCAGGGACTCGCCCCTCAGCTGATCACAGGATATGGCAACTGTTAATTGTTTCGTATTGGAGGAACTCTCAGCACCTAGCCTTCAATTGTTTCGTATTGGAGGAACTCTCAGCACCTAGCCTTCTCTTTACTCATGCTTGATTAAAAATTTAATCAAGTTGTCAAGCACCTCTGACAACTGTTTTACCCAAAACAAAAGGATGAAAAAAGTTTGTAGGGAGTAGCACATGCATGAAAAAAGTTTGTAGGGAGTAGCACATGCAAACATTTGACAGCGCAGCTGTCAATTTAAATCTGGAAATTAAATCACAAACAGTTAAATTATGCTAACCTGCACATGAATCCTTCCTGAACTTAACAGGCTTTCTGTAATAAGGGAGCTGGTAGAAAATCTCAATTTTGGTGCAATTCCCTAGAAGAGAGACAATAATTGAACATCAAGCTCCAACTAAAGATAAAGGGTATCAAAGAAATAAATGTCACCTAATGTAACAAACCATTCCTAATTTTAAACCATTTCCTTTGTTAATTTCAGCCTTTAATAAAGATAATTAGAAAAGACAGAACAGCAATGGTAAATGTCAAGAAGATAACATTTGCATTTCTGACAATTCAATTACAGATGATTACATTGCTTTTGTACAACAATTAAGGTCTGACTTTTATTTCAATATATTTCTTTGTCAAAAGCAGTTTTAAAGATTTTTCATGTCATGTTACAACATCAATAAAAATTCAAGTAATGCTTTGCAAGTTTCATTCCTACTGACTTTGCAAACTTATTTATAAACACATTATTGCTTGTGGTTTCTGTAGCTTATGCTAAACCAGGGGTAGGCAACCTATGGCACGCATGCCGAAGGCGGCACACGAGCTGATTTTCAGTGGCACTCACACTGCCCGGGTCCAGGGGGCTCTGCATTTTAATTTAATTTTAAATGAAGCTTTTTAAACATTTTTAAAACCTTATTTACTTTCCATACAACAATAGTTTAGTTATATATTATAGATTTATAGAAAGAGACCTTCTAAAGACGTTAAAATGTATTACTGGCACGCAAAACCTTAAATTAGAGTGAATAAATGAAGACTCGGCACACCACTTCTGAAAGGTTGCCGACCCCCTGTGCTAAACTAATGTTTTTCTATTTACTTATATGTGAACTTTTGGTATTCACTGACTGTGTATAATGTTAGAAAAAAATTTATACAGAATTAAGGGCCATACCATGTTCTGCAGATCAAGGGACAGAGGGACCCATCTACACATGCATTTTTCTCAGCTGTGCAGAAGAGAGCTAGGGGTTGGCTGTCCCTAGGGAACCTCATCCCCCAGCTCCTCCAAGCACCACACATCTATCCATGTGCAGATCCCCAGACCTGCAGAGGACACTTGGGTCTAGGTATCTGAACATGGAAATGGTGGGGAGAGGGAGACAGGAGGGTGAGGGCTGGGACATTCTGCAGGACAGCCTGGGGGTCCTGGGCACTGTCACAGGTGGTAGAGAAGGTGTACTACCACAGAAAGACAGAGGGGCTTTGGATTCAGTATGGAGGCAAAGGACCTCTTCCCCAGTAGATCTCCAAGATCATCCGAGATTTCAAGGTAGCCTTCTTCCATTGTGAACCCTGCTTCCGTCACCCTAAGAATTTTGGGGGAACTCCATGAGTGAGACCTTTCTCTGCCCCTTCTTCCCCCATGCCTACGCCACTGATTTCCCTACCCTCCATGAGATGGCATGATCTGGCCCCAAGGTAGAGTACTGAAATCAGAAGTGCAAGAGACAAAAAAGCCCAACGTGATCTTCGTTACCTTTAGCCATGACAACCATCAGAGCCATGGATGGTGACAAATTCAATCTAGTGGTTAATTTTAGTGAAAAAGTCAAACCACAGGGTATAAACACATCTTAAAGCTGACCTTCTTTAATCAGCACTCATTTTTATTATCTACATGAATTATCAACTGTCTAAAAAGGAGAAAATTAGAATTAATACATCTCTATGAAAAGCCTCAGTAGAGTGCCTACTGTTCTTAAAGAGACCAAGAATTATTACAGAAACTTTAGACATTTGTTCAACAGAGAAACAGTTTCTTGAGAGCAAGTTTGGACTAGCACCTAGGTTTTATAGTAATGGATGCCTCAGAAAACCCGACAGACTAGCAGCAAGAGAGGACAAAGAGTCTCAACTCCTTTGTTCTACTCACTACTCTGCCACTGGCTTGAGGGTGTAGGCATCCTTGGGCAAATTACTCAGCCTCTCTGTGCCAACTGTTTACCCAGCTGTCAAATGGGTATAAAATGAACTAGAGCAAGGGAACACCGTAAAGCTAGTTAATGCTTCTAAAGAACTTTGGAAGCATCAGATGACAGGTTTGCAACTGTTAGCAGTAAGAGGAAAAGCAGTCTGTTTTTTTTAAAAAGAAAAAAAACAGCTCCCCAATTGGGACCCTAATGAAAGATACTGGAGGGGAGAAAAGGTCTGTTTAAGTGATGCTGCAAATATTTCACAGAGGGAGAAGATAGTACGTTATATAAGCAGTCACAATCAGAGCAGGTTAATCATGTTCTTAGAGGTGAGGTCTGCACAGAAATGTTGAAGAATCAGCAAAAGCATCAGCAGGACAACACCGGAGCAGGAAAAAAGAAATAAAATTGTTCTGAGAGAACTCCAGGAATGCCTTGTATTCTTATTGTGTGTTGTGAGCCTTGTAAGACATTTAGCTAGAGACATTATCAGACAAGTGCCAGCTTTCTGGAGGAGTTCTGATTTCTAATCTTCGGATTCTTTCCAACTGGCAGATTAGCAGTGCTAATCAGACACTGCTTGTCACTGCCTAGCTGAAGTCCAGAACAGTAACCTTGCTTTTGCTACCTTTAGTTTTAACACAAGAAAAAGTTACTGAGCATCAAAGCACTATTGTAGCACAGCTATCAGTCAAATATACTGTGACCTTGCACTCCATATGTTTTATGGAAATATGCTTATGAGTGTGAATATGACGTAACTGGAATATGCTTTATGCAAAAGGTCTCTTGTGAGGTATCATAACAAAGGTTATAAACTACTGAATATATTCCTCCTATTTGTATGCATGTATCATTCTTGTATCTAAAGCTAGAAATATGAAGTATAACTCTGAGGTCCTATTGTAATTATGCGAAGTGTGGGCCACTAATGGTGGTTTAGAATCTTGATGGCTCCCCTTGACTAGGACAACTGGTTGTAAATGGTTTATTTACTTGCAAGCCTTCCTGTGTATGCGTGGGCCAACCCAGGAAGAATGGAGACTAAGGGTCTTACAGTGACATGTGACCATGTCACCGGATAATGAAATCCATCTTAAATCTGGTACTTTTCCATTTAGTAGGAAGGGTGGGGATCCAGAGAGACAAAAGATTCCTGCCTTGTGCCAAAGCTATAAAAGGGGGTGGAGCAGGACAAAGGGGGCTGCCAGTCATGAGAAAACCCCTGCTTACCACCTGAGATGTCTGCTGGAACTAACAAGGACTGTACCTGGGGAAAGGATTGGGCCCAGACTAGGAAGGAGTCTAGCCTGTGAAAGAAGCTTATTGGAACATCTCTGAGGGTGAGATATTACCTGTAATCAGTTTCTTAATGTGTTAGGCTTTGACTTGCGTGTTTTTGCTTTATTTTGCTTGATGACCTACTTTGTCCTGCCTGTTATTACTTGAAACTTAAATCCTACTTTTTAAAATTAATAAAATCACTTTTGTTTATTAATAAACCCAGAGTAAGTAATTAATACCTGGGGGAGCAAACAGCTGTGCATCTCTCTCTATCAGTGTTATAGAGGGCGGACAATTTATGAATTTACCCTGTATAAATTTAATTCGGGGTTTGGATCCCATTGGGAGCTGGGTGTCTGGTGCTGCAGACAAGTAACCTGCTGAGCTATTTTTAGTTAAAGTCTGCAGCTTTGCGGGCGTGGCCCAGACCCTGGGTCTGTGTTGCAGCAGGCTAGCGTGTCTGGCTCAACAAGGCAGGGTTCTGGAGTCCCAAGCTGGCAGGGAAAACGGGCTCAGAGGTAATTTCAGCATATCAGGTGACAGTCCCAAGGGGATCTCTGTGACCGAACCAGTCACATACACTTATTACGGCAGCTTGTTATAACTTTTCTTGTGGGAAGAACTCAATTGACTAGTGTGGAAAGAAGGTACTTTTGGTTCTCAAGATCATGATTAATATTTTACCATTTGCAATAAAATTTACATACATTGATTGCTGCCCATCGGAACAGCAAGTATATCTTACTGGTGCAGCTTAGGAACACCCTTCACCCAAGAGGGAAGAGAGCAAAGGGGCGGGGCAGAAGCACCCATCATTCCAAACCTCAGGAATCTGAAGCAGTTTAGAGAGTAGAGGGAGACCCACCCAAAAGGAAACACAGCTGGTATGATGGGGATCTGGGAAGGAACATTTGAGACTCTTTCATCTTGGTTTTGAATGGGAGGTTGTTTCCCTCATGGCTGCCCAAACCATCAGCTAGAGAAAGGAGACGTAAATTGTTTAAATTATTCTTGGGGTACAGTCATTACCCACATTAACCTTCTAAACCATTCCATATTTCTGGGAGGGAGGAGGTACACATGCTTCTGCAGGAACGGATTTCACCATCTAAACTGCTCCACATACTTTCCTGGGGGTGAGAGAGACTGGAGCACCTTTTTCCATTCCATCATTCCAGTCTTTTTAGGGCTGCTACAGCTTCATTATGCAGCTGCCAATGCCCCAGCTGGCTCTGCTCAACACCTCAACAAGAATCAAAGGCCCTAAAGCACAGCTGAACTACTATGGTTCATTACAGCGATTGTTGCAAAAAGCCAACTATCTGGACACTTGTATCACAAAGAGGTAGACAGCCTTTCAAAATGAATAAAAATACAAATACATTTGATTTACCATAAAGAATTTGGGGAGACATGAACTAGCTTTTCAATGGAATTAAAGCATTCCAAATTTTAATTAAAAAAAATTCTAATAAGCTTCATATTTAATATTACTCCACCATCAAATATTTACTGTAAGTCCTAAACAACAATGTATAATAGGACTCTATTTTCTTTGGGAAAAAACCTTCCTATTAATATTAGAAGTTACCCTAATGCAGTATGATTTGCTTTTATATTGTATCTATCATCAAACTAAATATATTTGATAACATGCAGATAGGATGCTAAAAAAAAAAGCTATGTATAGAGAAGTTATTGTGGAATCTTCCAAAACAAGGTGCAGCTGTGTATTGAATTTTGACATAAAAACACTCCTGGTCCAGATCTGGATTGGTTATAAGCAGGCTTCAAATTGCATCACATGATGTTGCAATTTTGTGGCACAGGAGAAATCGCTTACACACACCTATTTGGATTCCAACTCACCCAACTAAATGTTCATTTAAACAAAGTTCATTCAAATACAACCTATCATCATAAGCCCATCTCTGCTACTCAAGTCATTCAAATGAAGTATGCTCAGACTCCAATGTGAAACTGCAGAACTGGAAATAATTTCAAACTGGACACCATCAAATTAGGCCTGAATAAAGACTGGGAGTGGATGAGTCATTACAAAACCTAATTTTACCATACTAATTTCCCCCTACTGTCACACCTTCTTGTCAACTGTTTGAAATGGGCCACCCTCATTACCACTACAAAAGTGATTTTTCCTCCCTTGGTATTCTACTGTTAATTGAATTGTCTCGTTACGCTGACACCCCTCCCCCCCCCGCCCCACCACCACTTGGTAAGGCAACTCCCATCTTTTCATGTGCTGTAATATATATACTATAATATATATACACACCATGCATCTGATGAAGTAGGTTTTAGCCCACGAAAGCTTATGCCCAAATAAACGTGTTAGTCTCTAAGGTGCCACAAGGACTCCTCGTTGTTTTTGCTGATACAGACTAACACAGCTATCACTCTGAAACCTGTCACCTCTATTTGTAACTGACAGGGTGATTTTCAGGTTGCCCTTATGGGGCACAGTGTACCAGCTGCAAGCCATTTTTGACCTTTAATCATGAATTTAAGAAATCTAGTAGTAACTGACAGGTCAATTGAGCCCCAAATCATCCCAATCCCAGTGTTCTGTCACTTTAATGATATCTCCTTTCAAGTTGCTTTCAGGACTATCCCGTTCCCATCTGAGAATCATCAGCTTTAAATGCCTACCAAGGTGCAGGCTGAGACCAAACTTATTTTCATTTAGTGTACATTTGAGCTCGCAGCTACAAAAGATCAATGCTAATTCATTCTGTTCGCTTTGTCAATCACCCCTCAGCTATTCTGGCTTTTTTGAAAGCCTAAATGTGGCTAGTTTCTAAAATGGCTTGGCCAGTCAATGTGAACGGAGGCTAAAGAGAGTTTGACAAGTTCTAGAAGGGACAACCAAAGCTATAACAGTGTCTAAACCAAGTTTTAATACAGGTTATGATTATTCATTCTTATTGTGGGAGATCCCTTAAGCCCCAATGAGTGCTGGAGACACACTGCACAGAGTGCTGTACAAACAGATGGATCAACGGACCTTCACCCAGAGGGTTTCCGATGTAACTGGAGACAAAATGCAACAAAAAGAGTAAGTGGGGGAGAGAGTTACCCTGTTACATAGTTCAACTGCTGTAAAATTTGATGGTTCCTGCTGGTCGTAAATCTAGCTTCCCACACACTGGATGGGTGAAAAGAAGAAATAAAGGCTGTGGTACTATATATCAAAGCAATCTAGATACTAACTTGTTCATATTATACAAGTATTGTTTGCACATCAAGTTAAAATAACATTTCCAGCAGACATATTCTATCTTCACAAAGTTCAGCCTTGGATTAGGACTTGCCATTTCAGGTATTGAATTATCTGTCAAAAGTAATCACTTTTGGCTTGAGGTAGTTCACGAAGCTGTTCCTGTGAAACACACTGTATCATAAGTACCATACACAGTATGCACTTACTGTAAAACTAGAAGACCGCTTCATTAAAACTTCACGATCTGAACCATGGTGCCCACGAGTAAGCTTAGGGTCAGAGAACAGGAAATCTCTTGTATTTTCTTCATAAGTGGCTAGAATTTCTCCCACTAAAAAGGAAATATGTACTTAATGTATTGGGAAACAGTTATACAGTGTAGACACACATGCACAAGACTATGCCGAAACTAGTACAAGTTTTTACCTTTAAAAATTAAGAGTAAACTCTTACTATACTAGGCCATAAGACCATTGACTAAAGTGGGACTATGCCCGATAGTAAGAATGCACAGGATTGGGCCCTTAAGCAGCTTTTACTCAATACTGTATCAAATTTATGTAAATCAGACTGCCTTTGTTGCACTAAGAGACATGTAAAAGGTTTTCCTACAACATTTCTTCAATTTCTTTCCTTCTTCCTCTCCTATGTACAGCCAACGGTTTTCTAACAGTAGCCAACCTCACATCTGTTATTCTGTATTACAGAACAATTATGGTTGTTAATCAGAGATTTAGCCAGCTGTCAGAAAGGAATTTAGGTACAATCAAAAAGAGTATTTCAAGATCCTCAAATCTTGTTCTATTTTCTTTAAGGAAAAAACACAAGATAGCTTATATAAAACTTTCAAGTTGTTCTACCACAGTCACTTTTCCAAACGTCCATTACTATCTCAGAGCCCCTGAAATTAACGTTCTCCTTCTAAAATCTCCTACGCTCCCACAACAACAAAATCCACACTCAGTTTGTTTCTTTGTATAAATATCCCAGTGAGCCACTGAGAGAAACAAGTATTTTCTTGCTTGCTGTGGTGTTATTAAGGGCCTGTAACTATGGGTGCTTTTAATTCCACAGTTCTCAAACAAGTCCTGCTTCAAATGCAGATTTATATTATCCATGGGAACATTTGAATTTCATTAAGATAGATTTTTTATAATCACACAAACCTAAAACAGAAATATGACAAATCATTATTTATTATCTTCACCTCTCCCCAGAGACCTACAATATTTATAGCGTGGATAAGGGTTTTCCCCAGCGGTCACCATTAAAATAAAAGAAAAGTGTCATTTTGAGAACAAGATTATGCACTTTGAAACCTCACAGGCAGACACACCACAAGTGAATTTTGATGCCTTTAATAAGTGTGCATTGAGTGATTTCGGTTTATTTTCAATTTTTAAAGTATTATCACTTTTGTAAGCCTGAGAATGGAACATTTCAATATTAGCTTTATTCTCTTTCAAAAATGAGATCCTCTTGATCTATTAACATTTTATATTCAGAGGACTATTTGTTGAAGAGCTTTCTACATGGTTTGTATGTTGAGAAAAATGATTGTACGTCCTCATGGAAATTCACCTATTAAACTGCATAATTTATGAAGAGATTGATACAATACCTGGAGGAACAAGTTGTATTAGTTCAAGTACTGCAGTGTCAACTAGAAAGGAAAAAAAGTTTTTTCGTAAGTCAAAAAATAAACTATGATCAGAAGTAATTTTAATATGCAAAGTAAAAGAGCAACCATTCACTGATTTAAACATCTCAACAATGTATGGGCTAATGTAATAAGTACAATTATGATGTACCAATAATAAGAGCAGATTATGAACACTTTATATGAATACTACAAATCTAAGCTAACACAATGGAGTCCTTAGGCACTACCATAATGCAAATAATAAATTATTGGCTCAAGCTTATAACAGACACTGTCAAGTTTGGCAGTAGATGGATTCAATCCTTTGAAGAGACTACAGAGAAGCCATGAAGTTTGGATCCTGTTTTGGACTATAATTCTTGCATTGTTTAAGGGGATCTAGATTTGGAGTTTTAGTTCAGGCACAATACTTTTTTAATATGATTCATCATGCTCAATGTATGGCAACATTGTTCATTGTGGAGTCACTCTGTTTAATAAAATCACAATCACTTGACAAGGTAAAACACTCAGTGAAGTTCAAAGTACACCTCTACCCCGATATAACGCTGTCCTTGGGAGCCAAAAAAATCTTACCGCGTTATAGGTGAAACCGCGTTATAGCGAACTTGCTTTGATCCACCAGAGTGCACAGTCCCCGCCCCCCCCCCCCGGAGCACTGCTTTACCGTGTTATATCCGAATTCGTGTTATATTGGGTCACGTTATATCGGGGTAGAGGTGTATTTGAACAGAGCTTGCTGTATGTGGTCAGTTTGTTGAGTTCTTGAAGTCTTTGTATGTGAATAAGCTACATTTTTAACTGTTTTAAATTTCGCTCTCTTTAATACACTAGAAGAAATGTATAATTTAGAGATTTCTGGAAGTGACCTCTTATTTATCTATATTCCTGGTAAGTTATTACTATCAAAAGAAGCCATCGCATTTCCTAGGCTCACATTTGAAGGATCACACATTGAGCAATGAGTATTTCATTGAATGATCACACATATTTGTAGCAGATCATTCTTAAGCCACTAGTGTTTCAAAGAGATAGTAAGAATGTTTTCCTATCTAACCCCTCAACTCTCAAAAATATCTTTAGATTCCATATTATTAATATATTAGCCACCAAGGGCTAGATCCACAAAGGGATTCAGGTGTCTAAATGCCATTTTAGGCACCCAAGTTTCAAACTTTAGATCCTCTAAAACCCCTGCTCAGTGGTCACATAATCCCATAGGAACCTAAATTAACCAGACCCCTAAGTTTCCACTGGTAAAGTCCCTTAAGCATCTAAATTTGTGACTGTGGGCATGAGCAAAACTGTTTAAATCCTGACACTGCTGAGCAGCTCGGAACCCAGCTCATGCAGGGCTCTCAATCTCTTCTGTTAAAGCTGTTCTACTTTATATGAAATACTTAAATATTCCTTGAAGCGGGGACTGGACCAGAGTCTCCCGGAAAGAGCACTAACCACTAGGAGACAGAGTCTCTCGTTTTCTTTTGCCCCATGACTATTTTTAAGGGACTTAACTCCCCACTGCATTCTATACAGAGTCCAAGCACCAAACTCGTGGCCATGAATTCTGCTGGGAAACAGAATGCCTACATATTAGGCACCACAATGCTGAGCCTAAGCCCTCTGTCTGAGGATCTAGCCCTAGGTGCATACAATATAATGTATATAAAAAGCAAAACCTACATTCAAGTAGCTCAACAAGTTCTCCAGGATCAACTACATCAGTAAATACCTAAAACAAAAGATTAAAAACAATGTAATGGACACATTTGATCAGAAATAAAAGCTGTGCTTAGAGAAAACTAAAGTTTGCCTTTGATTGATTATTGCAAACAGTACTATTCCCCATAGGGAAAATAACAGAAAACTGAAATTATAACCTGGCACTGAGACAGAATCTATTTCTTAGAAAGACGGCACTTTTGGTCAGCTGATTTCTAACCATTTCAAGATTCTTCCTCTCCATCTAAATTATGTGAGCCAATCACATGAACATGCAAGTGCAGTCTGCACAAATTTCAGCAATATAAAAGACAAATAGCTAATCTTGTTAGAAAAGTTCATTTTTCATCTTTAACTGAAAAAGATTAAAGGGACAATGTCAGCAGCTTTTTTAATTATTGGGTTTTCTACACTGAGCAATCCCACAATTTTCTTAGATATTTGAAAATAGAATTATTCTCCCTTTTGTTTTTTCTTCTTTCCATTTGTATAATGTTGATAATTCTTCTGGCACTTGTAACTGAACTTAAAATAATGTGGCACATTTCCATTACATTCTTGTTTGTGCATAACTATTACTGATCATGTCAGCACCACCCTGGGAATACCGTTCATTCACTAACTACTGCTGTAAAGCCAGGAAGAGCAGCTCTCTACAACATTTTTGCAAGTCCTGCTAAAATAGTGACTAGTTTATTATAATTTCTAGGGGAAAATAGATGAATAAGTTATAGTTAAACTGCAGAAGAACAACTCCGCTGAACAGTTGCAAAGTATGCCTAAATTGTACTCTATTGACAATATGCTAAGTTTTCATCTTCAGAATATGGACTGTAGCATTACAGAATCTTTCAATGAGATTTGTAAACAAACATCACACCCAATTAGAGGGCAAACAGCAATTTTAGCTGCAGACAGTAGTGTTGGACGTTCAGGAGCTGGCACTCTTCCCACTGATTCAATACTGAGCCACTGCCTCAGCATGCTGTTGAGGCACACCCTACTGCTGGAGGTACCAAACTTTTGAAGATATAAAAGTAGAGAGCCTGAATACCTCAAGCTATTAAATGACACTATTTGTAAGAGCATGGATGTTATTCCCACTGCTCTGGCTAAATTCCTACTTAAGAAATTGCACTCTATAAATACACCTAGATTTCTCCCTCAGTTTCAGTTGAATACAGTAATCAGCACTTCCTGTCCTAAGCTGTTTTGTACTCTAGTTGTGCACTGTTAAATAGCTGCTATGTTCCATTTCCACCTTGCCTTTCAATGGTGGGTGAAATTATCCCTCTCCATGCCTTACCTATCTCACAAAGGTGTTGTTGAGGCTTAATTAGTCAGTCTTTGAAAGTGCTTTGGGATACTTGGATGAAAAGCACTAGAGACATGCAAAGTATTGTTATTCATGAGTAGTCAAAAACCGGAATCATGTTTGTAAGGTACAGAATTTCATTATTCCTATGGCACTCACAATGAAACTAGTAGGGACACAGAAAAGGTGATAGGCAACAGTAAATTACAAGGCTATAGTGCCATCAAGGGGACTCTTGCGACATCAAACCAGGAAAGAACAGCTCATATGGAGAGAGCTGTCACCAGAAAGCCCAAGCTCATATTCCATCTTTTTGCTACCGATAGTTTTTATAATCTAACTTTGTGATTTTTAATTTTCATTCTTCTCCCTATTCCCTACTTTTATTTTCCATTTTGACCTACATTTAAGAAGCATAACACTTGGCAGGAACTAAGAGGAACTATTGGGGGGAAAAAGGTCATTTCGTAAAAGAAGAACAAACAAAAACCTAAAAATCCTCATGATATACTATGGTCATATGCTCACAAATTTATTTGAAATTACCATATCTATATTGAAAAAACAAATGTCTTTTGTGTTGAAGAGCTGCTGAAATTAGTAGTAATACAATACCATTTTCGGTTTGATCATTTGTGTTTGGGGATTCTGGTTCTTTGTTTTTTCAATGCTCATGTCTGATGTTATGCTCATACCTTTTCAAATACTAGTTTCTCTTCTAAGAAGAGTGGAAATGCTGCAGGGACACATTGAGTCCTTTTGTACTGTCCAAATACACAGGCGCTGAGATAGAGCTCACTTTTGTCTTTCAGCAATACTCCAGGGCAAGTTATCTGGAAGAACAACATATTTATTATACAAACTTGAGCTTCAGCATTAGAATTAATGGTTATATTTGGGAGAAAAAATAGAATGGGCTAAGATGAAAATAGTTGTTTGCTTGGGAACCATATCGTAACATATTTCAGTGGCACACCCTCCTTTTCTAAAGTAATTCTAGCTGTACTTACTTATAGTAAGGCAAATACTTATCGTTTTAAAATATTTAGGACTAAGTTCTCCCCTAGCGTAAGCAGTCACAGCTTCATTAACTTCAGCCACAGCTGAACCTGACTCCCCAATCTTAAGGTCACACTTTATAATAGCTGCTGGTGTTCACGATCCACATCATTTAATCACTAAGGGTTATACTGAGCAACCAATGACACATGAGATATCCAAAACACGTCCCAAGAGCCAAAAGCTGTCCAAGTCCTAAAATGTAGCCTCCCAGCAGTGAGGACTCAGCTGATGAACTGGTAGTTTTTATTGCTTGTGAACTAATTCAATCTGCCTAAGAAAGGTACATTTGTTTTAGGGTTGGATTTTTTAAGTTTATGGAAGTGTATGTGGGAATTAAGTGTAGCTCTTGGGCTCCTGGAAAGTTGCCAATGCAATTCCTTATGTTGGAAAGTTTGGGTACCGCAGGAGTACCAAAGGGAGACTGGACTTTTTTACTAGAGAGATACTCCTGGATATTGCTGGTGGGTGGCCACTGCATTGTCTTTCACATCTATTTCTAACTCATGGGTTTAGTTCTCTGGCTAGTGAGCATCTCATACATTTTTTCAAGCTGTGATGTACATCACACAATTCTCAGCTGTTCTCTCGCATTAAGAACACACACAAATCTCTTCCCCACAGCTATATGTTATTTTCTCCAATTCTGATGGTTCTGCTGTGTGATCCAGCTAGAGAATTCCCAGTCACCTTTCACTTCAGTTTATGCTGCTCTCATATTATCACAGTATTATAAATGTGAGGTTGCCTCTTGCAACACAAGGTTGCAGGAGAAGCAGTGCTCAGATTTTCAATTGCCAGCTAGAGGAGAAAGGGAGCAGAGTGACAGGAATGAAGTGAGGTATGTTTGCTACAGTTCTCCTTCTCTCAGATGAACATTTTGCATGAGGAATGCCTACTGGACCTAAAGAAAGATTCTTCATATATCACAGAAAAATAATCCTTGAATGAAAGAAGTTATGGAGGTTAAAGCCGACGGATTTGTGCAGTGCTTAATTTGTAATGAAAGAGGTGCTGGGGCTCAAGCAATTTTTTTTACATTCATAACTGACGCAGCAAACCCAGATGTGCTGGGGCTATGAACGGCCAACCCTAAAGGTGCCGGGGCTCACGCCTGGCACAAATTAAGCATTGGATTTGTGGAATTTAATGGGGACCTATGGTCTAAACAAGAAAGTCTGTTAAAATATATATTAGCTAAGCAAAAGGTTTCCCCCTCCAAGAGCTATTATCTCTGATGAAAGGCACCAGGTTAATAGTCCTAAAGATAGAAGCAGACCTGCCAAGTATTACACCTCTTGCATGAAACTCATGCATACGTAAGTATGAATGCAAGAGAGACTTCCCCATGCAACCCCCTGTAGCCTAGGGGAAGATTCCCTGAACTACAAGCTAAGAGACAATGAGTTTGTCTCAGCTCTTCAACTGAATGTTCTTAATATTTCTGTGCACGTCACAACCCTTATAACCAAGGCCTCATATCTTTACCTTAGAGGAGGCAGCTAGCAGTCCCCCATTTTACAGATAAGAAAAAAGAAAGCTTGAAGGAGGTCACTGAAGGCAGAGCTGAGAACAGAATCCAAGTCTTCAGTCCGACAGACCCAAGTTTCATCCAGTTTCCCATTTTGCCTTGCCAGAAAAATGAAGTTCTTCCCAGATCATCGTTCGGGTATGCTGGAAACTTGCACTTCTGCTGCCCTGTAGACAAACTAAGGGCTTCATTTAGCAGAGCTGCAAAAGCACTAAATCTACAATTTTTAAAGCCAATTTATGGGTATATACCAGTGAATTACAAATATACATTTGAACTCACTAAATAATTTCCATAATGTGTCACATGGAGCTGCACAGACCTTGGCAACTACGCTGAAGCCCCTATTTGATTGCATCGCTTAAGGACAATGGACAGTTTTACTCTATGCTTTGTGACATGCTATGTACAAATATGTTAATATTATCCCCAAGACAAGTACAGTTAGGGGAGCGGCAGTGCTATCCCCAAACTGATCTCAGAACAGACCTGGAGGGACTACCAGTAAAGATACAGTAACAAACTAGATCAGCATCCATGCTCATTCAATTTGTGGCTTCTGTGCCAAGCTTACCAAAAATGTGTGGTCACAGTGGTCTTGTGATGTAATAGGCATCCAATAAGAAATGGAATGAGACCCACCAAACTCATTTCATATAAGGGGACAGCATATTATAATGAACCATGATCTCCTTTCAAGGGGAGTCCTGCTCTTTGAGTTTACATGCAGTTTTAGGACTGTGGTGTGTGTGTATTTAACTAACTCCAGACTCAGGGCTTCAAAAATCCACTTGCCTACTCTCTACTAACAAATAAGATGCTCTCAGTGTCAAGGACAAACAATGCCCATCAACTCCTACAGAGTTTTCACTTACAATGAGGTGTTAGCCAATACGGTTGCAAAGATAACCTTCCAAATGTGAATGGAATGTAAACAGGTGCAACACTAACTTCCTTAGCCTGCAGACACACAGCTCTAGTAATTCAGCATGTTGCTGCAGGTAAGAACTCTCTAGTTGGCAGTGAAATGAAGAATCAGGTGAAGTTCACTCTGCGGCTCCTTAGGAAAGGTACGGGCAGCATCAAAGGCAGGCACTGGAGCTATTCTCTAGGAAGGCGCATTCAGAACCGAGGCTGGTGGACATAACTAAAAAGCCTCCTTTGATTGCAACCTGGAACCTTGATGGTGGGAAGAGTAGCAAATATCCCTGACTGCAGCAGCCAGAGGCGAGGAAGTAGGGGCTACCCTTCCCCACACCGCATTACAGCACCCAGAACCCGGGGTTCAAGGAAGAACCGAGAGAAAATACTAGTTCTTTCCAGCAGCCAAAAAGGGCTTTTTTGGGGAGAAGGGGTGGGGAAGGTCATCTTTAATCAGACAGCCATAGATACAGGCTGATATGAAACCTACCAAGCTGCCATCCCTGAACAACTGTAGGAAAGCTAGTACCCTCCCCATCCTTCATCTCATAATAAGTGCATGGTCATGTGGCTGTTTTAGAGCAAACATGCAATTACCAACAGTAGGAACAAATCAGAAAGCAAAAACACCAGCTCCATTTCCATCATAGGCTCTCACTGACAATGTGAGGACAATGCATTTTCATATTTTAGATGGCATCCAGGATTTTCCTTTGTGCAAAGTGCATTCAGGAACCAGTGGGCTAATATAACCTATAGATCAAAGCGAGCACTACCATGCAGAGTCAACCATAATCCCAACCTCACTTTGCCAGCTGGCACGCAAGGTGTCTCCAAAGGTCTACAAATTATGGTTGGGGATCATGGGAAGAGACAGTTATGTTGAGTAAATCAGAATATGGGTATGCTACTTTGAGCAGTCACAGGTGAGGTCACATGACTGCTCCATAACATCTCAATTCACAGTAGTCACCTGGAGAAATATATGGATTTTAACTCCAATTGTATTCAGTACTAGCATGTCCTGCACTGCACACAATTGAATCAGATGACACTACTTCCAGCTGATGAAAGTGAAAACATCACCATTTACACTGCTACTGACACTTGTCTCCGGGCAAGTCTAGGGTAAAATATAGCAGTCTCCACTCCTCCTTTTACCTAAAACAATGTTTTAGTCCAAAGGAGAAACTGCAGGGAAGGAGCTTCTACCAGAAAAAATTGATCATTTCCCTTGTATGATTGCCATGAGTAAGGCACTACCCAATTCACGATCCATTTTGGTCAATTTCACAGTCATAGGATTTTAAAAATCATAAATTTCATGATTTCATAGAATATCAGGTTGGAAGAGACCTCAGGAGGTCATCTAGTCCAACCCCCTGCTCAAAGCAGGACCAATCCTGAGACAGATTTTTTTTGCCCCAGATCCCTAAATGGCCTCCTCAAGGATTGAACTCACAACCCTAGGTTTAGCAGGCCAATGCTCAAAACACTGAGCTACCCCTCCCGGCAGTTATTTAAATCTGAAATGTCATGGTGTTGTAATCGTAGGGCTCCTGACTCAAAAAAGAGGGGAGGTTAGCAAAGTTATTTTAGGGGGGGTTGCGGTTCTGCTACCTTCACTTCTGTGCTGCTGCTGCTGGCAGCGCTGCCTTAGAGCTGAGCAACTGGAGAGCGGCAGCTCCTGGCCAGACCAACTCTGAGGGCAGAGCCACCAGCAACAGCGCAGAAGTAAGGGCGGCATGGTATGGCATTGCCATTCTTACTTTTGCACTGTTGCTGGTAGGGCACTGCCTTCAGAGCTGAGCGCCTGACCAACAGCCGCCAATCTCTAGCCACCCAGCTTGGAAGTCAGCACAGAAGTAAGGGTGGCAATACCATGACCTCCCTGCAACTCCCTTTTGGGTCAGGACCCCCAATTTGAGAAACGCTGGTCTCCCCCCCGAAATCTGTATCTTGGTAGTCCATCGATCCGATGATGACAAATCTGTGCAGATCATCAGTTGTTGGTCTCATGGTGTGCCCTCTGGTGACTGTACAAGCCAATTCTAGAGGTGCACATTTTGCTGCAGATGGTGCATGGGAAGTTCGCGGTCAGTGGATTGTGCGCTGCTGATGCTCTATGACGTCGTTCGCGTGCCTCTTGTAGACGCCGGCAGCGGTCTTCCTCAAAGGCGATGCAGGTATTTCTGACTGTTGCACACCACTGTGTTCTGTCGCTGGCAGCGTCCTCAAGGTTCCTAGATTTGATACTGCTGTACTGCAGATTGGCTTTGATGGTGTCCTTGTAACGTTTCCATGGACGACCTATATGACGGATGCCCTGGGAGAGTTCACCATACAGAAGCTGGCGGGGGATTCTGTTGGCATCCATGCGGCTGACATGACCGGTCCAACATAGCTGTGACTTCATCATCATCATTTCGATGCTTGTCATCTGGGCTCTCTCAAGGACCTCGAGATTGGGCACTTTGTCTTGCCAGCGGATCTTCATGAAGTTGCGGAGGCAGCGCATGTGAAATGCTTCGAGCTGCTTGATGTGACGCCTATATAGTGTCCATGTTTCGCACCCGTACAAAAGAGATGACAGAACAACAGCTCTGTACACAAGCAGTTTTGTTGACATCCGGATGTTGCGGTGATTTAAAACTTTGACACGCAGACAGCCAAGTGCCTGGCTTGCTTTGGCTATTCGTGTGTTGATCTCATTAGCCAGTGATCCATCACTGGATATGACACTACCCAGGTATGTAAAGTCTATCTTTAAATATATCTGAAATCTGTATAAGAGTGGGTAAAAGCACACAACAGACCGGATTTCACAGGAGGAGACCAGATTTCACAGCCATGAATTTGGCAGGGCCCTAGCCATCAGAAATACCAGCAGCCTAAACTAATTCAATCCCCCCCCCCAGGTCTCCAGCGCCCCCGGTCTGAGCGGGTTCACTCCCTAGGAAGACTCGGGCCCTGCGCTCAGCCCGCCAGGGGGCCGGGCCAGGCGAGGGCGGCCAGGGGAGGAGGCTGAAACTAACGGCGCCGCAGCCCATCACCGCGCGGCAGGGCGGGGCCGAAGAGGCCTGCTAGGATGGCGGCCCAGGTGCTGCCCCCGGGGGCCGGCTCGAACCACAGCCCCGGTCACCGAGCAGCTCGGCGGCAGAGCAGAGGGCAATGAGCGCCGGACTCCAGCTCCTGGGGCGTGCGGCCGCGGCCTTCCCGTGCCTCAGTTTCCCCGCTGGGCAGCGGCGGCACATCCCCGGCCGCCGCGCGGGGTCCCGCTGGGGGCAGGCGCCCGGCCCGGCCCGGCCTCCCCCGCCCACTCACCGAGCGGAGCTCCAGCTCCAGGGCGCAGACCAGCGCCTTCCGCGGCATTGGGGGGGCCGGGCCGGGCGGGGGGGCTGCCCGGGGCCCTGGCCGGAGGGGGAAGGGCGGCTCCGGGCCCGCACAGGATGCGCCGCGCCGCTAGCTCGGCCCCGCCCGCAAGGAACGACGCCGTTGTCGTGGCAACCGGAACGTTTCCTGACGCTACCATGTGACCCAGGGCGGGGGCGGAGCTAATGGAATGCCAGGGACAGGGTCAGACCGAGCAAAGCCCTCGGCGGCTATGCGCATGCGCGATAGGCGGAGCCCAGTGGTACTAGCACTCGGGGGGGGCGGAGCTCTGTGGGGTGGGGAGGCTGACGCGGTGCTCACAGCGTCCCTCCCGCACCGTGCCCTCGGCGGCAGGCGCCACTGGTGGGACCCCTCCATGCACCCTCCCATCGCTCCGCAGCTGTGAGCCCCTCCACTCTGCACCCCCTGGCCCAGCACAGCCCCTCACCCCCCTGCACCTCACTGCTGCAATCCCCACACAGCGCCCCAACCCGCTGCACTTCCCTGCCCACAAACTGCCCCCCCAACCCTGCACCCCACCACTGTGATTCCCGACCCTGCAGCACCCCACTGCCCACACACCACCACTCTCCCCCACTGTTCACATACGGCCCTGCATCTCACTGCTGCAATTCCCACCCTGCACCCACACACCGCCCCACCTGCCTGCCCACAAACCAATCCTCCCAAACCTGCACCCCAGAGCTGTGATCCCTACCCTGCAGCACTCCACTGCCCACACACACCCCTTAGAATCATAGAATATCAGGGTTGGAAGGGACCTCAGGAGGTCATCTAGTCCCACCCCCTGCTCAGAGCAGGACCATTCCCCAACTAAATCATCCCAGCCAGGGCTTTGTCAAGCCTGACCTTAAAAACCTCTAAGGAAGGAGATTCCACCACCTCCCTAGGTAACCCATTCCAGTGCTTCACCACCTTCCTAGTGAAAACGTTTTTCCTAATATCCAGCCTAATCCTCCCCTACTGCAACTTGAGACCATTATTCCTTGTTGTGTCATCTGGTACCACTGAGAACAGTCTAGATCCCACCCCTCCCGCCCCAGTCTACACACAGCCCCTCACCACCCTGCACCTCACTGCTGCAATTCCCATCCTGCACCCACACACTGCCCCAACCCCGTCTCAGCCTGTAAAGTCCCCACTTCCGCACCCTACGGGGATCTGAGTCCTACTGCAGAAGCAATTTTCCTCTCCATCCTATTTAACTGGAGGGATGAGAGCCATTTGGATCTTTCAGTCATGATCTGGTCCAATGACTGCTCTGCACTATAGACCCAAGCAGCTCTGATAGATAGGCTTTTAGGGAAGGAAACCCCTCTATCAGCACAAACATTTACTGATTAGCAACACTAGTGACCAGAGGTACAAGAAACACATGCTAGTTTCAAGGATTCGGGGTTTAAAAGGATATAAGCTTTCCCCTAGTATGGAAGTGCCTCTTCAACTCTGAATTCCTTTGCTTCTGCAGGCATAAATCTTCTCTTCGCATTATTTCCGCTCAGTTTTATGGAGGTGAATAAAGATGTCTCGGTGGCTGCCTTGCATAATATTAATTTTTTGCACTCAGCTCCATCTAAATGATCAAGAACCCAGTGCACCTTCTGCTGCTGCTCCCCCTATTTGGGCAATGTACAGAGAAAGTGAAAATCCTGGCAACAGGGAAGTAAATGGAAAAATTCCTCCTCCTGATTCTGCTTTCACTTCTACCAGTGAGAATCGGAGTAACCACTAAAAGAATTGGAGTTACACCAGTACCAGACAAACATGAGGAGAATCATGACCCTATTTTCTTCAGTGGGAGCAGGATCAGGCTTTAGATTTGTTGCGGCAGGACATTTTCTAGACTATTCACTTAGTCCTGCTGATGGGGGTTCAGGGATCCAGAAATGTGGAGAAGGGAAGAAATCACATACATGAAGAAATCACATACATAAAGCAGTAGATGATATTGTGGTGATCAAAGTCTTGGAAGTACCCTGGATTAGAGAGAGGCAGAGTAGATAGTTTAGATCAGAGAGCAATTGTGCCTTGATCCAATTATTTTCCATTTCGTTTAATTTGTCTCTACCTTTAAAGCCTCTGTATTGACAGAGCAGCATAAAAGAGCCTTAACTTAACTAAGAATTGGGCCTCTTTTCTCTTGAGATTTCATCACTGAGAGTAATTGCCCTAACAACAATTGTGGAAAGTTCAATGAAAACATCTGCTCTATGTGCAGTCCTGGAGGAGGGCAACAAAAAAATTGCTAGGCATGGAAAGATTTTCATATGAAAAGAAACAAAAGTTTAGGACTCATTTTATAGAGGGTAAGAATACAAGGTAATATGAAAATTAAAAGGCAACCTGTTCAAAAATTATAAAAGAAAGTGCTTTATAAAGACATAATTAATCCGTGGAACTCACTGCTACAACAAATTAGTGAGGCAAAGATCTTCAGAGGATTTGGAAAGCTAGATATTTATATGAACAATAGGAATACCTGCAGCTGGGGCAGTGATTGTCTTTGTTCTGTGTTAATACAGCACCTAGCACAGTGGGATCCTGGTCCACGACAATTGCAATGCAAATAAATAAATTATAATACATAAAGGGATGTGCTCATGCTACAAGACCAGACTTAGGGTTAGTAAGAAACTTCTCCCATAGGCATCTTATTGCATAGTTGTTGGGGTTTAATATTTGCCTCAGAAATTTCTGAAACCGACCACTGTGTGAGAGAGGATACTGAACTTGATGGACCTCTTGTCTGATCTACTAGGACAATATCTGTGTTCATATCTCATTCCTATCTCCAGATTAATTACTGGGATAACGGTACCTTGCACAGTGCAGTCATATGGCAAGATTTTGATTAGTACAAGGGAGCTCCCAGAAAAAGCTAATGTTAAACGATCTCTGCAAGTGGTGGAGTAAAGCAGAGAGAATTTTGTAATGCAAGAGATTCTAATGGGATCTAGGAGGAGCAAAGTAAATTGTGTTACCACTGGCACATATGCCAGGGAAGATAGAATGATAGGCTATAGATGAAAATCTATAATACCCATAAAATCATTATGGGCAAAAGTCCCCGTGGACTTTGTCACTCTCTCCAGTCTATATCAAGCATGAGCCTCTGCTCTCTGTTCCTCTCCAATCTCACCACGCTCTGTTAGAGAGAGCTTTCTCGTATGGAGCGCCAACCACCTGGAACAAGCCTGACTACGGGTATGTCTACACTACTGGCCGGATCGGTGGGCAGTGATTGATCCAGCGGGGATCGATTTATCGCGTCTAGTCTAGATGCGATAAATCAATCCCCTAGCGCTCTCCCGTCGACTCCTGTACTCCACCTCCGCGAGAGGCGCAGGCGGAGTCGACGGGGGAGCGGCAGCAGTCAACTCATGTGGTGTTTAGATGCTGCTTGTATTATTAGAACTGGGAGCACTGGCTATTGGGATCTGAAAGGACAGGAAACAGGAAGGAGGGGGGAGGAGTTGACGAGGCTGAGTGAGAGTTACAGAGGGTGCCGCTGCAGCTTGGTAAAGAGGTTTCCACTGTAAAAATAAAGTCCTGTTAAAGCTTGTTAATATCTTGCCTGGTTGATACAACAATTCACCGCAGTGAAGACACCACGGTAAGTCGATCTAAGTACGTTGACTTCAGCTACGTTATTCATGTAGCTGAAGTTGCGTAACTTAGATCGATCCCACCCCCCCAGTGTAGACCAGGCCTCAATCTCGATGTTTCTTCTTGCTTTTTACAGCCTCTCTTTCAGTTCTGATTGGGGGAAGTGATCTCTATTCTGCTACTAAGCAGATACTGACTTTGGCTGAAGTGAATATCAAGCTTTGACTTTTGAAGTAAATTGTGACTGAAGTAAAGCCAAGGTTATATTTTCACGGCGGGACAACATATCTCGATAGTCAGCCTATGCATTGATACCTACATTCTGCGCGTCTTCAACAATCTCATTATTACAGTGACGTTTCAGAGTGTAAACAGTTTCTCCATTGAAATGAACAGTCTAAGAGAGGAGAAGAAATGGATGGATCTATTTTAACATGCTTTCATTACATAACATTTATTCCAGATCTCAGTGTTATTGGCTTTGGCTGAAGTAAACTATAGAAAATTACTCAATCATTTTTCACTCAGTCACAAACCAGGGACTGTTTTATGAAGTGCACATACCAATAGTCATCATTTAGGCCCTGGTTCTGGAAAACAACCCTTACTTAGATCATCACTTAAGGGGGATATGATAGAGGTCTATAAAATCATGAATGGTCTGGAGAAAGTGAAAAGAGAAGTGTTATTTACCCATTCATATAAACACAAGAACCAGGGGTCACCCAATGAAATTAATAGGCAGCAGGTTTAGAACAAACATAAGGAAGTACTTCCTCATACCACACGCAGTCAACATGTGGAACTTGTCAGAGGATGTCGTGAAGGCCAAAAGTATAACTGGGTTAAAGAAAGAATTAAATACATTTTAGCCAAGATTATGAGGGACACAACCTCATGCTCTCGTTGTCCCTACACCTCAGACTGCCAGAAGCTGGAACTGGGTAGTAGGGGATGGATTACACCCTCTGAAGCATCTAGTAATGGTCACTGTCAGAAGACAGGGCTAGATGGACCACTGGTCTGACCCAGCATGGTCATTCTTATGTAAGATATAACAGAAACAGTTCAAAACAATCATCAGGTGCCCAAAATAAAGCCCATCACCACAACACAAACATTTCTATTTAGCTCTAGCATCTTCTATTCAACCACAGCGCTTCTTGCATCCCAGTCTCTTCTCACAGCCGCTCCTCCTAGTTGAAACTTATTGACCTTATTGAGGTTGCAGGAAAAAACCATCCTGATGTGTAGAAAGAATAGTAAATATGGCAGGTGACCAGCTTGGCTTAACAGTGAAATCCTTGCTGATCTTAAATGCAAAAAAGAAGCTTACAAGAAGTGGAAGATTGGACAAATGACCAGGGAGGAGTATACAAATATTGCTCGGGCATGCAGGAGT